ATGGAGAAACTTACCGAGCCCATCTCGTGAAACATGTCCGAGGCAAGAGCTTCCCGGTCGGCGTCCTTGATCTTGGCGCGGTCGGTCGGGGGGGTCATGCTACGCAGAAAAGTCTCCGGATCGTAGTCCCGGTCCAGGAAGGAGACCCCTGCGGGGAAGGCCGCCTTGACATGCCTCTGGTGGCCGAAATCCTTCATCAGGGGGGACTCGGACCCCGTGGGAGTGTCGGTGGCCGAGGCCGTATCCTTCCTCTTCTTCTTCTGGGCCGGCTCGGGGATCGGCTTCACCGGCGGAGTCGGAGGACGACCGGCCACGGTAGGAGCCCGGGAGCTGCCGCTTGTGGCATCTGGGAACATGAGCTTCATCCGCTCGGCGCTAGAAAGCATGATTTCACCTGCACAACCAAAAAAGATAAATGATGAGGCGAGGACTTAAGCCGCGAAAGAGCGAGGTGGGAGAATCCGAGGTAGTCGTGACCCACGGACGGCCGAGGAAGAGAGATTGCACTGACCTGAGGGGCCTTCTTCGATGCTCCGCTGAGTTTCTTCCGGGGATAGGAAGACGAATTCGAGCGCCGCCAACGCGTCGTTCGTCACTATCGATCCGACCTCGAAGGCCCCCCCTCGGCAGAGCATCTCTACATCCTCGAGCATCTTGTCCGAGTTGATGAAGGCGGAACGGCGTCGGAAGGAGCTGAGGGGTTCCTTACGAAAGGGGGAGCCCGAGGATAGAGAAACGAAGACGAATTTCCCCTTCCAACTCTTGGCGGAGTCTTTTCTCGTCTTGAAGAGCTTCTCCTGTCTTTGGAATATGGAGGCGTACGAGCCCGAGTCGGAGTTCGCCCGACCGGATGACTTCGCCAACCGGAAGAGAAGCAAGAAACGGGCCAGATCGGGGCGAACCCCGGTCCCTTGGCAACGAATGAGAAATCCCGCCAAGTAGCGGTGGGATTTGGGCACGACTTGGCAAGGGAGAAAATCAAAGTGGAGGAAGAAATCTATAACTAGCTGGTGGAGGGGGAAGCGAAACCCATACTCGAGGGACTTGAGGTGGATGGCGAAGGAACCCGGTGGGGCGTCAAAGACCGACTGTTCGGTAGTAGGACGTTGCACGGTTACACCGGGCGCCGAGGCTAGGCGCTTCGCTTTGCGGAACTCCTCCCGAGTAAGGGTGCACTTTCGCGCTCGGATCCCCGAGTCCTCGAGAACGGTCCGCCTCTGATTGCGAGGCTCAGACTGGAGGGGGATCTCGACCGCTTCGACTATCTCCTCGACAGAGGGCGAGCGGGAGTCACTCTCCTGCACGGAGCCTGCGACGGAGCCCTCAGCACCGCGCTCGGACTCGGACTGACGAAAGACCGAAGATTGGGAAGACATGGAAGAGAAGGGACGAGGACTAACCTAGAATGGAGCCGGAAGATGGACGCGAACGACGGTGAAGGGTCCTACTTTCTCTCTCTAAAAGGTGAAGAATGAGATGAGTAGGGTGGGTATTTATAGAGCAAGGTTTTGAATGGGTGCAATGATGGGCCACCACTTGGCCTAGGGAGGCGAAACGGCGCATCCCTTCATGATTGCGAAGCCCAAACGGCACCAATGGCCTGCTATCCCCCTCCACGTGGGACCCCGCACCGTTCTCCTACAGTACCCATACTCTCTCGTGTTCCATCGCTGATTGCAACGAAACCCGGAGAGTGGGGGGCTTATGATGGAGGACGACCCCAAAAGACACGTCAGCCGGGCCCATCAGCGACGTGGAAGATTTTCTCTGCTCGGCCCATGAGCTCGGCTCGGCCCGTGAGCTCGGCTGGAGACCGTGATAGCGACCGCCGGATAGCGACCGGCCACGTTGACTGCGCGACAGCGATGGGATGAAAGAGACAACGCATAACAGAGATGACGTCCGCTAGGCGACGAACCTCGATCAGAGAAACTTTGACTATGTGTATTGTATCCCCTATAAAAGGGGAGAGACCCCTCATTGTAATGGATCCAAGTTTAGAACGAATAAACTCCTACTTTGCATTCTCTCTCTCTAAAACTTATATTATTCTTTGTTCTCGGTGGTTTATCGCCATCACTAGGTACCAACCATCAAGTCGGGTCAAACTTCTTAAAAACCCTAAGCAGCCCCTATCCCGATTCATTTTCTCCTCTTTTGGTCACAACTTCTCTCGATTCTCTCCCTACTAAACGAAGCATTCAAGGTAATTCTCCATCAAATCTCATCAATTTCTTCATATATTAGCTTCAATTTATCAATTTCTTCACATATTCTATCGAATTCATCAAATTCCTTACAATTTTCATCTTTTCTACCCAAATTCGTCTCTCTACCATTTTTCCCCAAAATGAGCGAAATTGTTGTTGATACTCAAGCCGAGTTCAAGGCTTATAGCCACCCGCATGTCATTATGGGACGGTATTGAAACAAGATGATATCCCAATTCTTGTCCTTGAAATCATTCACGAACAAGGTTGGAGCTATTTTCTTCAACTCCAAGCCCCAGTTTACCCAGACCTTGTTCATGAGTTTTAATAATCCATGAAATATTATAAGCGTAGTACTTCCATTACCGCCGTCGTAGCCGGCAAAACCTTCGGGTTCAACACCCTAAATCTTTCAGAATGGTTTCACCTTGACCTTGAAGGAAAGAGGGGTGGATTTCGGATGCAAACGACCTCACAGTGCACTTTTGCGGGTTCTCAACAATCTCTTGATCATGTGTTAGAGGACCTGGACTATACCCTTTGCCGTCTCGATGTCCAAAAGTTAACCAACAATAGGTTCATTCTTCTAAAAACCCTTAAGGAGAACATAATTCCCGTCCTTATCAAGGGCAAACTTGTTAGGATTTTATGAGTGCACACTTCTCTATTTTCTCCTCACTCACAAGAAAATCAACCTTCCATCACTCATTATCCAACACATGTATGAATGCTTCGGTCGCCTCAACAACCCCTACGGCATGGTATTCACCCACATCTTTTCCAAGCAAGGCATTCTCGAGGTTCGTCCCTCATGCGTTCTCTTTCTCAACGCAGAATGTCTTAGGTATTGTGGCCTCGTCAAGGTTGGAGACACTTACTATATGAAATGAGAGTTTCAAAACCTTGATGAGAAAACTCGAGCAGAGTACAGTCCTCGGCGATCCATGTCATCCATTCCCTCCATTTGTCAATCTCAAGAGCCCAAAGCCGATGAAAATGCAAGGATCCCTATTCGTGCTCCACGACTCAAGCGTTCCACGTCCGCCTCTCATGCTTCGTCGCCCTCACTCTTGTGTCGCCACTCTCACACAACCTCTTCATTCAATAATCTGTTTAAGAAGTTTAAGAAATTTATCCCCAAGAATGTGGTTGCACTATGAAGAAAGCTTCAAGAGAGCCTCGATGATCTCTCTGATCGAATGAAGAAGATTGAAGAGCATGAGGCACGCCGAAATCACAAAGAGGATCGAGCCTCTAGATGCACCTAAGTGTTGAGCATTTGACATTATTGATCAAGCATATTATGCATTCTTACTTCATTATGTTTAAACCTTTTTTGTTTTGTATTGTGTGCACTATGTTTGAAACTCCTCATTTTGCATTATGTTTCAAACTCTTCATTATGTTTAAGACTCTTGTGGTATGTATTGTATGAATTCATTTCGTTGCTATGGATATTATGTTTCAAACTCATTCTAAATGGCTATGGTTGTGCTTTCTCGAATGCCTATGGGTTTTCTATTCATTTTTTCCTACCCCACCTTTTTAAAAGTTGCCAAAAGGGGAGAGAGATTAGGCTTTCCTATGCATGTATTTAGGGAGAGCTTTTGTCAAAATCCTAAGTGCATCAACTTGGGGGGGGGGGGGGGGGG